AAAGTCAGTTTAAGTCAACGGGATTCACTCAACTCACCTCAACTGTGGACACTCACTCTCATCGCCACCTGCCTTCCCCAGACACCCTCTAAGCCTTGCAGAAAAGGAGTTGGCCTTCTCATGTGTTCCCAGTCTAGCTGGGGACCCTGACATGTCCTTTTAGCAGGTGCTGTCATGGGGGAAGCACAGGTCACGGAATGAGCAGCCTGTGGCAGCCCCGGAAAGTCCCAGACGGCTCCCCACAGAAAGAAGAGTCAGCGCAGGCAGAACAGTGGGAGGAAGGGTGTCCTGGGCAGAGGGAACAGCACGTGCAAAGTGGCCATGGCAGGGTGGGTGGAACCCTCTGGGATCCAGAGGTTGCTCCAGCTGGAGGGAGGAGTAGGGGATGAGGATGGTGTAAGGGTGGCCAGGGGGACATGCCCAATCCCCCACGGAGGACCTAGCCTGGATGCAGAAGACACTGCAGTGCTGAGCAGAGGAGGAGTGTCATTTTAAACACTTCCCTGGCTGCAGGGGGATGCACAGAGCTGAGAGGGGAGACTGGACTTCTTGGGTAGGGACAGAGCCTAGAAATCCAGTGCTGGGGGATTGGTAGGGGACAGACAGGTGGGGAGCTTAAGGAGAGAGTTTAGGAAATTAACCAGAAAAATGACCAGAAATTGAACACTTATTCTGGTCCAGGCCTTGTTTCCTTGCCTTACAGGTATTAACTAACTTGACCCTCAAAACGATTCCATGAGGTGGGTATTAATATCGACCCTATTTTGTAGATGAGGAAGCTGAGGCCCAGAGCGGCCGAGACGTTTGCCCAAGGTACCCAGCTCTTAAGGAGCAGAGCTAGGAGCTGAACACAGGCGTTGGTGCTCCCGAGGCCTCAGGGGCAGCCAGGCATTCTGTACAAAATGCCCATGGGAGGTGCCTCCTGGAGGCCGACCCCTGCCTCCCAGCACACAGTAGGTGCTCAGGGCCTTCTTTCTTTGTGTTTGTGGATTTAAATCATCATCTCCACCCGATCTGGGAGTGCCCTTCCACTATTCAAAGGGAGAAATTGAGGCCGAAGCACGCACAGTGATGAATCCAGGATTTGAGCTTCAGACAGGCAGGTGGTATCATCAATGTCTGACCTTGAGCTTTTTGAGAGTCTTGCTTTGTCACTCGGGCTGTGGTGCAGTGGCGCGATCTCAGCTCACTGCAACATCTGCCTCCCAGATTCAAGTGATTCTCCTGCCTCAGCCTCCCAAGCAGCTGGGACTACAGGTACGCACCACCATGCCTGGCTAATTTCTGTATTTTTCATAGAGGCGGGGTTTCACCACGATGGCCAGGTTGGTCTCCAACTCCTGGCCTGAAGTGATCTGTGCGCCTCGGCCTCCCAAAGTGCTGGACAGTGGGGTACAGCAGGGATCAAGGGTTGCAGGTGGGAGCCACTGCGCCCGGCCGCCACTGGGATTTTGATCCGGTGTGTGTGCATCGAAGGGCCCTGCACACTGCTCTGGGGAGAGGATCCCACCCTCGTCCTTCCAGTGCTGAGAATTCTCCTGTGGCTGCCCTCTGTCCCTGCAATCTGGGCTCCTCACTGTGATGCAAGGGGCCCTGCTCGATTTGCCCCAGCCTCCCCTGCCTCCCCGGTCTCACCTCCCATGACTCTGCCTCCTTGCCCCTGCACCCACCTCCTCCAGCACCAGTTTCGGACCCCAGGACCTTTGCACATGCTGTCCCTCTGCCTGGAACACTCTTCCCATGACAGCCTCGTATCCCCCAGGGGTCTTCAGCTCTAAGGTTGCCTCACTTCCTCAGTGTGGCCTCCCTAAGCACCTGAGCTGGAGCGCCTCAGTTCTTAGGTATCACGTCACCCCATTGTTTTGCTTTCGTTTTTTAATATTCTGCTTCCTTACTGGAAATTTCCTGTCTATTTCCTGCCTCCTGCAGGGGACAGATCTACTCTAGGTAGGATCCCTGTAGGTCTTACTGCTGTATCCCACAGTCCAGCACACAGTAGGTGCTTAATAAACATTCCTGGAATGAATGAATGAATGAATGAATGAATGATTGAGTGAAGGAATGGATGAACAGAGTTTAAGAATGCAGGTGCTGGGAGGAGGACAGGCAGGTCTGGGCTCAGGCTGGGGCTGAGGCCTCCTCTCCCGGGTCTCCCTGCCGGAGGAGGAGCCCCTGCCAGGGCAGGAGGGTGGGTGTGGGGGCAGCAGGCAGGGCTGGGCGAGGCTTCTCTGCTCCACTGTTGTCATCCTCTGGGTAATTATGGGCTCAGACACTCCTCGATGCCTTCCCAGAATAATAGCCGGGCCTGTTATCAGCGGCATCTCTGGGACCTTCTCACAAACAGTCATTAATCAAGTCTTGCTGCCACTCTGCCCTCCCTCATGGTGGAAACCAAGGCACAGAGAGGTAAGGCCACTTTCCTAGTGCCACACAGCTGACGCAGGGAGGATGGGCTGTTTTTCCCCGAACGCTACGGTGCAGGGTGGGGCCCCTTCTCCCCGTTCCACATAGGGAAGTCTCTGAGCCTGCTATGACTGGGGGGCCTTGCCCCCAGTTTCAGGCCCCCAGTCCTCCTTGAGGCCTCAGAGGCCTCCCAAGTTGGCCTCTTAATCACTGCCAGTTAATTAAGGAGGTTAAGCATCTCCCCGGGGCCCAGGCAGGCCTGCCCAGGAGAGAGGCGGCGGGGCCTGGACCGTGTCTCACATCGAGGCCCCTGCTCCCCAGCCTGGTCTGGCACGGGCATTGTGTCTCTGTGGTGCATATCACCAGACCTGGGGGACTCTGGGGGAGGCGCGGGGCCTCTGATGGGGCCGTAGAGTTCCATTGCTGGGGCAGTGCCCCTCCCCTTCTTCGGGGGTGTGTGGGAGGTGCTGGCATCACTTAATGAGGCCTCCGCGGCTGCCAAGGAGAGCTGGAGGAGTTGAAACAGGTTCTGGGTGAGGTGAGTTTCGTGGGCTGGGCAGAATCCGTGGCTCTGTGCCATGTGGGCGCTCCCCGGGGCAGTGGGGGGCAGGTGTGGGACCCCCACCTGGCCCCTGTGTCCAGCCCTCTGCCCCGATGGGTGGGAGCAAAGGAAGCTTACGAGGGGATTGTGGAGATGACAGAGGATGACAGACAGGAATGGAGGTTCACATCCCACCCTCCTGGGGCCCCACTGCCAGCCTGTGGGGACCACACAAAGCCCCACCATGCTGGCAGCATCTGGGGCTGTGGAGACACTGCCAATCTGTGCTCTGACACACACTTGGGCCTCCGTCTTCTGACCTGAGAAATCAGGGTGGTTGGAAGGGATCATCTCGGGCTCGGGGCTTTAGTTTCAGGATGACCCATCCAGCAGAGCTGCTGACCTGCTGTGCGGCCCGCTTTCTTCCTCCGGGAAGAGCTGTGCTGGTGGGGTGGACGCAGCGATCCTCGGTCTCTGCTGAGGTTGCCAGTGCTTCGTGAGGGGCGCCTGGACTGCTTTCTCAGGATGCAAGGAAGTCATTCAGTGCATGTCTCCTGGGCAAGCGCCGAGGCTCTGAATTCATGGCAGGGAGGCTTAGGAGGAAGCTCCCCAAGGCCGGGTTGCAGGTCCTGGGGGCTGGAGGGCAGCTCTTCCGTGTTGCTGAACCCTCGGGGCCACTGCGGGTTCAGGTGAGGCTGGATCAAGGCAGGACCCAGAGCCCATGGGGGCCCCATGGGTGTTTTGTTTTCCCCCCTTTTTTTTAAGTGACTTTCTTGGATATATAATTTATATATAGCACAGTTCACCCTTTTGTGATGGGCAGTTCTATGAATCTTGAGAAACATATACAGTTGTATATCCACCAGCACGATCAACAGGCAGAACGTTTCCATCACATCAGAAAGTTCCCTGGTGCCTCCTTGCTATCAATCCCTTTCCTACTCCCAGCCCCTGGCAACCACCTATCTCCCCCAACTTTTTATTCTGAAAAATTTCAGACTTAGAGAAAAATGCAAAAACTTCACAATGAGCCTCCAAGTGCCCCTTCCCCCAGGATCCCCTACTGCAAACACCTGGCCCTATGTGCATTTTTTTTTTTTTTTTTTGAGACGGAGTTTTGCTCTTGTTGCCCAGGCTGGAGTGCCATGGCGTGATCTCGGCTCACTGCAACCTCCGCCTCCCGGGTTCAAGTGATTCTCTTGCTTCAGTCTCCTGAATAGCTAGGATAGCAGGCTCCTTCCAGCATGCCCAGCTAATTTTTGTATTTTTAGTAGAGATGGAGTTTCACCATGTTGGCCAGGCTGGTCTTGAACTTCTGACCTCATGCAATCCATCCGCCTCGGCCGCCCAAAGTGCTGGGATCACAGGCGTGAGCCACCACACCCAGCCTCTCTGTGATTTTTGCTGAGCTGTTTGACAGTAAGTTGCAGGCATCCTTGCCCTTCACCCTAATTGCTTCAGCCTGCATCTCTGAAGGACAAGGGCGTTCTCAACACAACCATAGTGCTCACATGTGAGAAATTTAGCATCGAGTCAGTTACATTAGCTAGTCTCCAGGCCAGGTTCAAATGACTGGGACTGCTCCAGAGTGTCCTTTATAACTGTTTAAATCTGTTTTTCTTTTTAAAATTTTATTCTTTATTTTTTCTGGTACCGAGGGTTAGGCCCTGCATTTGGTGACACCTCTCTTTGGTGTCCTTTTATCTGGAACATGAAACATCCTCCTTGTTCTTGCCTGACTCTTTAAAAACCACTCTCATGGTTTCCTACACCAGGCACTGGGAGGGGAAATCCCCGGGGGATGTGAGTGCCAGGAAAGGGTGGCTGCTGACCTGGGGGACATGGGATGTTCTTAGGGTTTTTTTCTTAAAAGTAGTCTTTAAAAGTAAAGTGGCAGCAGAAGAGAAAGAGACTTGGATTCATTGGCTCAACTTTTATTTTTTAGATGGAGTTTCGCTCTTGTTGCCCAGGCTGGAGTGCAGTGGCGCGATCTTGGCTCGCCACAACCTTCACCTCTCAGGTTCAAGCAACTCTCCTTCCTCAGCCCCCCAAGTAGCTGGGATTGCAGGCATGTGCCACCACACCCAGGTAATTTTGTATTTTTAGTAGAGACAGGGTTTCTCCATGTTGGTCAGGCTGGTATCGAACTCCCAACCTCAGGTGATCTGCCCACCTCCGCCTCCCAAAGTGCTGGGATTACAGGTAGGAGCCACTGTGCCTGGCCTGCCTCAACTTCTAATAGACATATGCAATTTGTAATAGAGAGGGATCTCTAACCCTGCAGTTGAGATTCCAATCCCAGCTCTGCCTTCCCTTGGCTGTGAGCCATTGGTCAGGAAACTTCACTCCTAGAGCCTCTGCTTCCTCATCTGTGAGGTGAGGATAACAGCTGTCTCTCCGCCTTGCCCTGTTGTTGTGAGGAAATGAATCAATGCATACAGTGCGCGAATAGTAGCAACTTTGGATATATGTGAATAATGCATATATCTCATGGATATATATGTAGGAAAATGTTTGTGATGAATTGGATGACCTAATTTATACAGATCACCTTCTTTTCTATCAATTCGTCACAAGCATTTTCCTACGTCCACAGATGAAGCACTTGTGCGACGTGTAAAAGCTGTAACTTTAACTCATTTTTGTCCGTAGATAATACCATGTGGCACCAAATAGCAGAGGTACAAGCATGCAGCGAAAAGCCAGCCTCCCTCCTGTGCTTCTGCACACTCTCAGCTCCCCACTGTGATGGTCTTTTGTGTTGCTTTTCAGAAGGGCTCTGTGAACATGCAGGCAGATACCTGTATTTTCTTTCTTTATTTTTTGAGATGGAGTCTCACTCTGTCACCCAGGTTGGAGTGCAACGGCGTGGTCTCAGCTCACTGCAACCTCTGCCTTCCAGGTTCAAGCAATTCTCCCGCCTCAGCCTCTGGAGTAGCTGGGATTACAGGCGAGTGCCACCACACTCGGCTAATTTTTGTACTTTTAGTAGATACGGGGTTTCACTGCATTGGCCAGGCTGGTCTCAAACTCCTGACCTCATGATCTGCTCGCCTTGGCCTCCCAAGATGCTGGGATTACAGGCAAGAGCCACCGCGCCCGGCCATTTTCTTTGTTTCCTTACTGATATCAGATGACTCTACACACTAGCTTTGTGATTTTCACCAACCGTAGGTCTTGATGACATCAGTGCATAGCGAGCATCCTCCTTTTTCAAGGCTGCATGGCATTCCATGGTGGACATAGACCAGGATTTAAAGAACCAGTTTCTTAGTGATGGTGGCATGCAGGCTTTTGGCATGACAATTGCATCAGAGAGACCGGTGGAAAGCTTTCTGTGTCCCTGTGCAGGTATATCCATAGGATATGCCCTAGAAGTGGAATTGCTGGGTCAAAAGTCATCTAATTTTGAATTTTGCCCTACCATCGTTTTTATTTTATTTATGATTATTATTTTGAGACAGGGTGTCACTCTGTCACCCAGGCTGGAATGCAGTGGCATGATCTTGGCTCACTGCAAACTCTACCTCCGGGGCTCAAGCCTTCTTCCCACTTCAGCTTCCCGAGTAGCCGGACTACAGGTGTGTGCCATCACACCCAGCCAGGTTTTATATTTTTTGTAGAGACGGGGTTTGTCGTGTTGCCCGGGCTGGTCTTGAACTCCTGAGCTCGTGCAATCTGCCCACCTCAGCCTTCCAAAGTGCTAGGGTTACAGGCATGAACCACTGTGCCTGGCTGCCACCATCATTTGTAATGGCTGCACAGATCCTAGTGTATTAATCAGTGCCCTATTGGTGGACATTTAGGTGGTTTCAACTTGCCCGTCATGTAAACAATGCTACAATGAACATCTTTGTGCAGCCGCCTTGTGTGCAGGACAGTCAGCTTATGGGGAATTCCCGGGATCAACAGGAAGCACCGAGAAGGGGAAACTGAACCGCAGAGGCCGGCGTGGCCCCAAGGCCTGTAGGTATGGATGGCGGCTAGACTGGCTGGAGACTCCCTGGCCCTCCCTGTCCCTGGGGTGGCCGAAGGGTCCTGGAACACTGGACTCCTCTAGATCCTCACTGCTCAGGGTGTGGCCTCGAAGCCGTAGTACTGACCCCACTTGGGAGTCTGTTAGAAATGCAGGATCTGGTCCCTCTCACCCCAAAGCCTTGTTAAATCAGGATCGAGCTTTTCTTTTCCTTTCTTTTCTCTTTTCTTTTCTCCTTCCTTCCTTCATTCCTTCCTTCCTTCCCTCCCTCCCTCCCTCCCTCCTTCCCTCCCTCCTTCCTTCCTTCCTTTGATGGAGTCTCACTGTGTTGCCCAGGCTGGAGTGCAGTGGTGTGATCTCTGCTCATCGCAACCTCCGCATCCTGGGTTCAAGCAGTTTTCCTGCCTCAGCCTCCCGAGTAACTGGCACACAACTGCACATCACCACGCCCGGCTAATTTTTATATTTTTAGTAGAGACGGGGTTTTGCCATGTTGGTCAGGCTGGTCCTGATCTCAAGAGATCCACCTGCCTTGACCTCTCAAAGTGCTGGAATTATAGGCCTGAGCCACCATGCCAGGCCTCGGATTGACATTTTTACAAGTCCCCAAGGGATTCACCAGCACCGCTGAAATTGAGAGGAGCTGTCCTAAAGCAAACCTAGACACCTTGAGACTGGAGAGAATGGCTCAGCCGTGGGTCTGGGGCAGGCCTGAGGTCATACCTGGCTTCAGGCTTGCTGGCTGTGTGATGAAAGGCATGCCGGGCAACCTCTCTGTGCCTCGGTTTTCTCATCTTTAAAACAAGAAATGAGAGGATCCCTCCCCCACCAGGTGGTCGTGAGAATCAAGCATGAGCATTCGCAGAAAAGTGTTGAGCTCAGTGCCTGCACTCAGCAAAGGCTCAGTCAACCCCATGATTTTGCTGGTTATGGAGGCTGGCGCCCTGGAAGGAGATGTGGGAGTCGGACCTGTCTGAGCTTTGGTTTCTGCTCTCTCTGTCTCCGTCTGTCGCTGTCATTCTCCCGTGCCTCCTCAGCGCCCGTCTCTCCGCGTCCTCCTCGGTCTTGGCCTCCTTTCTCACGTCTCTCAGGTCTTTGCTTTCATCTCCCCCCGGCCACCGGAACTTGGTAAGTCTCTGTGAAAATGCTAAACGTCGGGGAAAAAAGGAGCTTACTGCAATGATAAAACTGCAAACTAAAAACGAGCAATACTAGAAAAGCAAAATGATAATTTATGAAAACTCAAAAACAGTAACAAAAATTATGTTTTCGGTGGGTGGTGGGGCCTTTCCAGCCCGTTTGGTGGGCAGCGGCTCGGGGCTTCAGGGCTGTGGGCCCTGCTGGGATTTCTTCTCTTCCTTGTTTTTTTTTTTTTTTGAGACAGTCTCATTCTGTCTCCCAAGCTGGAGTACAATAGTGTGATCGCAACTCACTTCAACCTCTGACTCCCAGGTTCAAGCGATTCTCCTGCTTCAGCCTCCTGAGTGGCTGGGACTATAGGCACACACCACCACACCTGGCTCAGTTTTATGTTTTTAGTAGAGACAGGATTTCGCCGTGTTGGCCAGGCTGGTCTTGAACTCCTGACCTCAAGTGATCCACCTGCCTCAGCCTCCCAAAGTGCTGGGATTACAGGCACGAGTCACCAGGCCCGACCTGGACGGAGCTGAGGGATTCCGTGGAGATCTGGCCTCGGCCGTCACTGGTCCCCTTCTCTGTGCTTTCCTCACTGTATGGCCCTGGAAAGGCACAGCCAGTGATCTGTGTTCTTCCAACTCATTTACTAAGTGCCTGCTACACCAGGCCCTGGGAAACACCTGGAGCAAGATAGACACAATCCTGCCTTTTGGTGCTTCTGTTCTAGGAGGGTGTGCATGTGACGGATGATATGGAAGCGAGTGAACAAAATGTGCAGAACAATTGTGGGTTGTGCTAAGTTGTGGTTGTGTGATAGAGAAAGACAGGCGTGGGGCTGCATTTTTTTTTTTTTTTGTTGTTGTTGTTTGTTTTTTAGTATTTTTTAAAATAAAAATGGGGTGTCTCCATGTTGGTTAGGCTGGTCTTGAACTCCCGACCTCAGGTAATCTGCCCTCCTCAGCCTCCCAAAGTGCTGGGATTACGGGTGTAAGGCCTGGGTGGGTCTCTTTACGCTGGGGATGAGGGCGGGAATCTGGGAGGATGACTCTGGCCTGAATGTAGAGACTAGAATGATGAGAAGGAGCTGGGCCTGGGAGTAGCTGAGAGAAGGGCATTCCAGGCAGAGGGAACTGGAATTGCAAAGGCCCTGAGGCAGAGACAAACGGGGTCAGTCACGATTGGGAGATCTTGGAGAAGAAAAAGATCTCAGGAGAAAGACAGCCTTTCTTTGCTGAGTGTCTCAAGCAAGTTGCTTGCTTTCTCTAAGCCTGTAGTTTCCCCTGTGTAAAATGAGAATATTAAAGACACAATCCCAAGTCATAAGTGACTTTTAAATCCAGTGGCGGACCAGAATTTCTGTACTGGAGGGGCTTAGGGGATGGTTGGGCTGTGGGGTGATTTGTCCTGAAACTGTGGGCTGAGCAGTACCACTCTTTCTACTTGGATTGCTTGGGTGGCTTTTTGGGATGACGATGGAGATTATTTGTGGTTGTACACGTTGGCCCAGATTCCCCATGGCCGAGCCCCTGATTTCAGGAGTTAATAGCCTACAGCACTCGGCATGGTGCCTGGCACAGAGCAAGTCGGCATTCCAGGTGGGAGGAGAGACGTGGAGATGGGAATGTTTAAGGTGTGTTAGGGGAAGAGTGAGGAGACCAGCCCAGCGGGTGGGGAGGGGTGAGTGAGAGGCTGGAAAGACAGGTTGAGCCCAGGAGGGGACCTTCAATGGCATGCAGCAGGAAGGTGGCTTCAGCCGGGAGGCAGGAGCGGCCACTGTGAGCTCGGGAGCAGAAGCCATGGGAATGGGTTTTGTTCCTGGTTTGATTCTCAGTATTTTAAATATTTTACATATTCAGAAAAGTTTAAAAGATAAGAACAGAAGCCGCCATGCAGCTATCACTCAACTTCATGGAAACTTACGTTCTTCCATGTTCTGTTCTTCTCTTCCTTAAAAGGAAATACCCCAATATAGGAGATTCCCTCATATCCCTGGCCAACGGGATCTCTCTAAGAAGCCACTGCGACCCGTGAGCCGAGACTGCGCCAGCACACTCCAGCCTGGGCAACAGAGCAAGGCTCCTTCTCAAAAAGAAAAAAAAACTCAGCGCTGCAACCTGGATTTGATGCTCATGATTCCCACGTGTCTTCGTCTTTCTCTTGTGGGCCTGAGGGAGGTATAAGTTGGTTTGGGGAAGGTATCCATCTGGTTTGATGGAGGTGTAAAAATTGCACACAGTAAAACACACACATCTTTTTGTTTTTGAGATGGAGTCTCGCCCTGTCCAGGCTGGAGTGCAATGGCGCGATTTCAGCTCACTGCAACCTCCAACTCCTGCATTCAAGCGATTCTGCCTCAGCCTCCTGAGTAGTTGGGACTACAGGTGCATGTCACCACGTCCAGCTAATTTTTTGTACCTTTAGTAGAGACGGCATTTCATCGTGTTAGCCAGGATGGTCTTGATCTCCCGACCTCAAAACACACAAATCTTAATTGTAGTCTGAGGGCTGTGGGATCACACCAGATCAAGACGTAGAATGTTCCTGACCTCAAGGGGCTCCCCTCAAAGGTGATACTGGTCTGATTCCTATCACCCTGCCTAGTCTAGAACTTCTCGTAAGTGAGCCCATTCGGTCTGTGCTCTTGTTTCAGGCACTTTCACTTAACCTCATCCAGCGAGGTCTGTCCACGTTTCGTGTCTCTTTTCTCAGCTGTGGCATAGTCCATTGTGGAACTAGACCACAGTTTGTTGAATCACCCGACTGTCCATGGAGACGGGGATTGTTTCCCGGTTCCGCGATTTTCAGTAGCGCTGCTGTGAACTTTCTCTTACATGTCCCACGGTAGGCAGACGCAGGCGTTTCTCCTCGTCTGCATCCAGGAGTGGAATTGCCGGATGATGAGATACGCGTGTTTAGTTTTTGTAGCTATGGCCAGTTTCCCAAAGCGGTTGTACCATCTTTAGACTTTTTATACACACACACACACACTCTCTCTCACACACACACACTCATACACACACAGAATCCCTGACGGATTCGGGGGCGCTGCTTTGGTTGTGAGTGGGATTGTACAGATGGCGTCACTTGTACATTTGCTTCTGCAGCCTGTTTTTTTTCCGCCTGATGTTCTGTTCTGGAGCTCCGTCCCCGTTGGCGGAATGGCTCGGGTGCCTCTATTGGTTGTCCCCATGGGCTCTGCTGTGGGGACAGATCACAGCGATCCTCTTCAGGCTCCTGCTGACGGACATTGAACTTACTCCTGACTGGGACTGTCTTTCTGGCTCTTCATGAGTATCTGTTATGGTTGCGGGAGGCCAGCCAGGATGGGCCAGGGGGCGGGGTGGACATAGGGTCTGTCATGGTGGGAGATGGGGACGAGGGACTGGTGGCACAGATGGATTCAGGGAACATTTAGGGGACTTGGTTGTGGTGGGGGAAGAAAGAACAAGACAGGGACCTTGGCGTCTGGGACCCCGGGTTTAAATCCCCGCTCCCACCTCCTGGCTACGTGACCTTGGGTATGCGGCTTTGCTGCGTGGAGCCTCAGTTTCCTCATCTGTAATTTGGGGACATTAACCCTGCCTGATAGGATGGTTGTGAGGTTGAATGAGCACAGACATTCAGTGGACCTGGACAGGGTTCGAACCCCTTTCTTAACTGATCGACCCTGGGTAAATTGCTTCACCTGACCCTCAGTTACCTCATCTGTAAAATGGGGATAATAATAGTACCTTCCTCCCAGCAATTTCCTGATGATGAAATGAGATTCTGGACATAAAGCACTTACCAGATGCTCAATACCTGGTGGCCTCTTCCTATTATCACTACTGTGGTTGACTTCTCTGCCTTTCCCACCAGAAGGTGCGTGGCTAAACAGCAGGAACTGGTCTTCTGTGCCCACCTGCCTCCTGTGGCTCCCAACAGGACAGAGGTGAGGGTCGTCTGCATCCTTGGTGTAGACCCGGAGCGAGCCCTGCCCGGCTGGGAACCTCAGTTCTCTCCTGTAACATGGGGCTCATGGCAGTGCCTACCCGACCAGGTGGCTTCCCACGGGGCGCACGATCTTGCTGGGGAGAAGAGCCAGTCAGGAGGGATCTGTGAAGCGGAGACGTTTTCCTAGCAATGTTGTGGCTGGTACCATCTGGGGGGGGGTCCTCCCAGAGATTGGGGGGGTGTTGGGCTGAGCCCCTGAGGGAGGGAGACCTGGTGTGGGGGTGGAAGAAGGAAGAAGAGGGATGATTGTTGATCTGCTGACCTCCCGAGGGCAAGTTTCAGCTGCAGGGATGCCCGAGCCCCTTGCTGCAGCGAGGACGCTCGGGCCACAGCGAGAGGGAGGCTGGAGTCCCGGGTTCCCAACTTGCCGCCCATGCCTTTGTGCCGTGTGACCCTGGGTGCCTGCTGTTCCTTCCCTGTGACTTGTCTTCATTCGTCGTGAGATCTCAGACTTGCTCCCTCTTCTGCTGGGTCTCCCGGCCCCCGCAGACCCCCTGGCCTGGCCCCTCTGCCCTCATGGAGGCTGAGGCCAGGGCCCAGGGCCAGGGCTGCGCACCTTGACAACCCGCCCACGCCGGGCACAAAGGCCCATTGTTCAGGCCCACGTTGGCGGGGAAGCGGGCGGAGAGCAGCCGCCTTTCACCCAACCCTCTTGTGGTCGGCAGGGACTGAGGAGCGATTCACGGAGGCCCCCGCCCCCTGTCTGGGCACACAGCCAGGCCGCCTCCCGGGCAGGCACCCTTGCCAAGCTGGGCCTGTGTTACCCTAAGCTGGGCCTCAGTTTCCCCGGCTGAGAAAAGGGAAACAGAGCAGCTCAGAGAGCGGGGCGGAGTTTGCTGCTTGGCCTCACTGCCTTGAGATCCACAGGGCTGTGTCTTCCCCGGGCACAGATCGGCTGTCCCTGCTATGCCGGAGAGACCCCTGGACCTGGGGCTTTGGGGCCTGACAAGTCGGGGTTTAAATTCCTGCTGGATGATTTGGGGCGAGGGTTCAGCTCATGAGCCTTCGTTCTCCCATCTGTAAAAGGGGGCTTGGAGTCTATCACCCTCTGAGGTAAAATGAGCGAAATGACACCTCAGCGCCGCATTCGTTTAATCATTCATTCATTCATTCCAAAAGATGAACTGGTGTCAACTCCGTGCAGGACCAGCTATGGAACGTTCACGGTCCCGTGCAAAATTAAACATGAGAGTCCTTGTTCAAAATTAAGAATTTAAAGAGGTAACAGCGTCAATCCAAGCCTGGGCCCTGCGTGCAGGTGTGCATTGCGGGTCTCCGAAGCCCCCCCGCCTGCGTACCAGCGGTTCTCCAGGCACCAGGACCAGGCACTGGGGCACAGTAATGAGACAGGAAGAAATGCTGCTCTCATGGAGCTCATCAGCTGGCAGGGGACTTGGAGTCCATGGACCTTCCCCAGGCCAGGTGCCCCAGAAGCCTGTCCCTCCTGGGCCCAGTGACTGGGCCAGCGGCGTGAGTGGAGGCATCCAAGCTTTCTTCAAGGCCCTGAGGTCAGTGACCCCCACATCCGGCTGGGGAGCTGCAGTAATCATGGCTTACGTTTGCCTAAGACTGCCCAGGCTGATCCAGGCCTTTCTTGGATGAACGCAGCATCTTCATGGCAATCCTATGAGGAAGACGAGGCAGCATGGCTCGCCCCTTGTACAGATGGAGAAACTGAGGCTCAGGTTCACTGGCCCATTCAGCCAGCAAATGGCAGAAGCAGGATTTGAACCCAGGCTGGCTGGTGCCAGGGTCTTCATCTCCCCATCCGTCCTCTGCAAATGGGAACAGCAGTCGGGGAGGTACTTTGTGCCAGCAACCGAGGCCCTGCTGGGGATTGAGGCTGGAAGGACGCGAGTGTGCTGGTGGCCCGCCAGCTGCCACCTGGGTTGGCCCTGCTGTGTGGCCCTGAGTCACAGCACTGTGTCCTGGGAAGCTGGCTGTGCTCCGGGCACCTGTGGGGCCTGAGTCACAGCAGAGCACACCCTACCTTCCCGTTCACCTCCCACCTGGGCTCAGGGGCAGGCAGGGCCTCTCAGCAGGTTCCTAGGCAGGAAGTCACATCTCTGCCCACAGTCAGGGGCAAGAGAGAGGCACCTGTGTGTGGCTCCAGAAGTACATTACTGCTTCCTCTCCCTGAGCCCAAACCCATCCTTCCAAGCTTCCCTTGGGGTGGATTAGCTGGCAGGTAAAGTACTGAGCTCCCCGTCACTGAGAGCATTCAAAGTAGGATAGCCTGTCAGGGGTGCTGAGGAGTGTTCCAGAATCAGGTAGGACCTGCTGCTGGAGTATGTGACTTGCAAAGCCATGAACATGTGCTCATGTGCTAATTTTTGAATAGCTCCTGTGAGCAAACGCTGCAAAAGCCCAAAGTAGAAAGGAGTGCGGAATGAAAGGCAAGTCTTCACCCTCCCCTGCCACCAGCCTCTGACTTCTCTCCTCAGAGGCAGCCACTGTCAACCTGCTATTCTGGACAGCGCTGGTTCGGCACACAAACAAACATCTATATTGTTCTCGCCATTCCACACAAACGGTGGCCGGTATGTTTCTTACCTATTCTGCTCCTCATGGAGACTGTTCTAGATGAGCACAGAGTGGCCTGGTTCTTCTCACCCAGCCGCACGCTGTTCTGCCCCTTCCCCTTTAAAATCTATAATTCATTTGATCGAAGGAATTTTCAGCCTGAATTCTACTTATTGGGATCTGCGCTGTACTTTGCTCTCATGGTGGCCTCAGAACATTTTCAAAATTTGGCTGGAGATAATAAGCTCTTTTCTTCACATCTGTGGGGATTTTTGTGTTCTGTTCTTAGTTGAGTAGACGGGGAGCTTTTCATATGCAGGCAGGCACTGGTAATCCATGGGTGAGACCCACAGGCATCAGCTCATCTGCTGATAGTGTGGCCAGGTTGTGGGAGGAGCATGTGGTGCCAGGAAGCCTGGAAGAAAGGGCTTCTTGTGTGTGTTTATGTGAGGGGTTAGTGATGGCTCCTCAGAGGAGGGGCTATTTGGGCAGGGCCTTGTGGGATGCATAGGAGTTCCTATGAGAAGTATGGAGATTGGTTTGACAGACGGAGGAAAC